AGCAGCCTCCTTCCCTTCTCTGGCGTGCGTTCATGCATGTGTGGTGGTGGGGGCTAGTTTTTTAAGAATTTCTTTAGAAGGGTGGGTGGGCCCTTACCAGGCCAGTGCCGCCGCTAGCTGGCCACTTTTCGTCTGCTGCTCTGGCCCTTCCTGCCCGTCGCAGCCTGGCTCTCTGCCTCAGGAAGCCTGGAGGACAGCGGCTGGGGGCTCACCCAGGGGAGGGGTCGGGCTGGGCTCTGACCTCGGCACTCAGGCCCTCTGCACACGTGTCCCCTCAGGGAGGAGTGGATGCAGGCCATCCAGATGGTGGCCAACAGCCTGAAGCAGCGGGGCCCGGGCCAGGACTCCATGGACTACAAGTGTGGCTCCCCCAGCGACCCCTCCGCGACTGAGGAGATGGAGGTGGCCGTCAGCAAGGCACGGGCCAAGGTGGTAAGTGTTGGGGCCCGCGGAGATGTGCCCCGTACAGAGCAACCTGTGGCCCAGCACAGAGACCCTGGGGGCTGCCCAGCAGTCCGTGGAGCCACTGCCCACCCCTCTACCTTGGAGCTCCAGGCCCACCCTGGCAGGTCGCCATGTGGGCAGCACAGAGGCCAGGGTTGACAGCCACACAGGTGCTGTCTAGAGGCCTCCCTCAGCCATGCCAGGTGCTGACCCTGTCCCCCTGCCTCTCCCTCCGGGCAGACCATGAATGACTTCGACTATCTCAAACTCCTGGGCAAGGGCACTTTCGGCAAAGTCATCCTGGTCCGAGAGAAGGCCACCGGCTGCTACTACGCCATGAAGATCCTGCGGAAGGAGGTCATCATTGCCAAGGTGGGTGCCCCACCATCTCAACTCAGCCTCAGAGGGAGGGGCCGGCTCCTGCCAGACCCATTCCCACCCTCTGGGTGGTCCCCCAGATGGTAAAGGTGGCTCAGCTCTGTGAGTCCCAGGAGGCCTGCGCTGGAGATGGAGTTCTGTTGTTTTCTTTTCCTTATTTAAGGGTTTATAGTGGAAAATTCCAAACTCAGACCAAAAAAGTAAAACGAAAACTAAGTACAAGGAATTTCCCACATAATTATCATCCAGTTTCAGTAATCACCAACATTTGGCCAGTTTTGTTTGTTAGCTCCACCCCAACTCCCCTCACCCCTGCCTTAAAAAGGTGTTCTTACCGCAGAGTGTAGACATCATATAATTTCACCCCTATGCACTTAGATCTGGTGCCGACTTTACAGAATGTCAGGTGGAACTGCATGAGACCCGGAGTCCTGGGGGTGCAAATACTCACGACACTCTGGGCTGCACTTCGAAGCTGCGCAGAGGTGCACAGGAAGAAAGGCCTGGCAGTCTGCCTGTTTGACTATAGATGCCAGTAACCCTGAGAGCCCGCTCTGCGCTGAGATTTGGGGTCACCTCATGCGTGCGTGTGTGTTGGGATCCAGTGATGGCAACTGCTTAGCTAGTTTTCAGACCCAGTTAACAGCCATTCCAATGCCTGGGCCCGCTCAGGGCTTCTCGACCTCGGCACTTCAGTCTGGACCAGCATATTCCTCTGCAGGGGACTTGGCTCCACTGTGGTCTCTGCTCACTGAAGCCCGCAATAGCACACACACACCCTCCCCACGGTGACAATCACAAATGTTGCTAGACCTCACCAACTGCCCCACAGGGGCAGTGCTACCCCAATGGAGAGCCAAGGGTCTGAGCCTCGGATGTGTTGTCCTACGTTGAGCCCACATCACTTGGAGGGCATGGGAGACAGGGCTGGGCCCCCACAGGAGCAAGGGTTGGGCCCCTTCAGTGGGAGACGTGGCTTCCCCCCACCCCCACCCCCGTGGGCATCCTTGGGTCGGAGTGGTAGGCCCACACGCTCTCAGGCGATGTCAAGGCTGCTGGTGTGGGGACTGTATGTCTAGGTCCTTGAGGGGACCTAGTTTGTTCTGTGCCCAGGGACGCTTCGCAAGTTGTCCCCGTGCCCTGGGCCTCCTCAGAGGCTTGTTACGATCAGTCTCCGGAATCAGGTGGTGGCAGTCCGGTCCTTGTCAAATTTCCACTGGCTTTCGACCTCCTGGGGCTGGGAGCCCCTCGCGGGGGAGTCCGTGAATCGGGCCTGCATCTGGGCCTCTCCCCCTCTGGCTACAGGATGAAGTTGCCCACACGGTGACCGAGAGCCGAGTCCTCCAGAACACCAGGCACCCCTTCCTCACGGTGAGCGAGCCCCACACCCCTGCCGGGGATCTGCACCAACCCCAGGATGGAGCGGAACCCCAGCCATTGTCAAGCACAGTGGGCTGCAGGCCACACACCCCTTCTCCCCCCCCACCCTACTGGGGGATGGCTTCCTTGGAGACAGTGCTCTGGTGGGAACCAGTTATAAGGTCAGATCCGAGCAGCAGCTGGGCCTTCACTGGACATGTTACTCAGGCTGCGTGGACACCTCGGTGGCCCAGCTGACGATGGGGTTGCCCCTTGTGTTGGAGCCACAGCCCTTCAGGTGGGGTTCCCCAGAACCTCCCTCGGTGTGGAAGCCGGTGTCAGCGGGGGGTGTCCTTGGTGGGCAGGTCGCCTTAAGTTGCTGCCTCAAGCTCCATGGAGTGGTCTGAGACTGGCAATAGTCTGCCCTCCTGTGGGGGCCATCGCCACATGTCACGCGTGCAATGACAGCAATCTCATTGCTTGAGCACGAGGGGGAGGGGTGCCCAACAGCCCACAGCGTCACCCCCGCCCCAGCCGCCCCTCCACGCCTGTCCCTCTGCCCCATGGGGTGAGGCTGGACCCCGAGGCACCGGATGTGGAAGGCCCAGGCCATTGTGGGGGTGCTGCAGACTTGGCCCCCACTGCTGCCGGCCTTGACAGAAGCCTCCCCTCTCCCTGTCCCCGCTGCAGGCGCTGAAATATGCCTTCCAGACCCATGACCGCCTGTGCTTCGTGATGGAGTACGCCAACGGTGGTGAGGTCAGCCGGCCGAGGGGCAAGAGAGGACTGTGGTGGGTGGGGGTCCAAGAGGAGTTGAGACTTGGCGGCTGTCATCTTGCTGCCTCCTTCCCTGTGCTCCCTGGGCAGGCACAGGCCGGGGGCTGTCAGCCCAGCTCCTGGGGTGGGAGGAGCCAGTGGGGAGATGGGGTGGCTGACAGGTAGCTTGTAAAGGCCCCAGAGCAAGCACAGAATCTGGAAGCCCCTCGGGGCTCTGGTCTCCCTGGCAGTCCTGCACAGGTAATTGACACGCCCTGTCAGTCTCTCTTGCTTGCTTACCAGGCGGGCGCCCCCACCCCCGCCCCCACCCCACGTCCTCAGATGGACTCAAGGCCCGTGCTCTCCGTTCACTGCCACTGGCTCATACGGTCTGTTCCTCTTTGCTTGGTTGTCGTCTCCTCTTGTCCCTCCTAGTGCCTCTCCCGTCACCTCCGGCTAAGTTTCCTTTTTCTACCCCTCAGGTGAGCCCTTCCCTCGCCCCCACCCTCTGTCCCTCCCACTGGCACTTGCTGGTTCCTGAAGCAGCTCTTGGGGCACAGGCTGGGTGCCAGGGCCTGGAAGGGGAGGCAGGTGGGTGAGCCGGGGGCCTGACCTCCCGCATATCCCCCCTCCCCCCGCAGCTCTTCTTCCACCTGTCCCGGGAGCGCGTCTTCACGGAAGAGCGGGCCCGCTTCTACGGCGCCGAGATTGTCTCTGCGCTCGAGTACCTGCACTCTCGAGACGTGGTGTACCGCGACATCAAGGTGAGCCTGGACACCCAGGCACTGAAGCCCGTGGTCAGAGGTTGGAAGGCTGGTGAACGACTGTGACTGGGCTCCCCTGGGCCTAGCAGAGGGCCCTCTAGCCGGACAGCACCGACCGCAGCCTTTGTTGCATGACTGTGTGGTGCCCCTCCCATCCAGGTGGGGAGCTGGTCAGTGGGGAAGCTGCTTCCCTGGCTCACTCCCTGCTTGGCTTCCCTGGGCTGCGGCTGCACAGGGGAGCTGATGGTGACTGGCCCCTCCAGGGGCCGGGGTCTTGGAGGGCGGCAGGAAGCCCTGGAGGGACATGCCCCCAACCCCTGGACTTTCCTGTAGCTGGAAAACCTCATGCTGGACAAAGATGGCCACATCAAGATCACTGACTTCGGCCTGTGCAAAGAGGGCATCAGCGACGGGGCCACCATGAAGACCTTCTGCGGGACTCCGGAGTACCTGGCGCCCGAGGTGCTGGGCTGCGGGCGGGGGGCAGAACAGTGGCCCCAGGCTAGCCCTGCTTGGACCTCACCATCCACTGCTGCCCACCCGCCCACCCCAGGTGCTGGAGGACAATGACTACGGGCGTGCCGTGGACTGGTGGGGGCTGGGCGTGGTCATGTACGAGATGATGTGTGGCCGCCTGCCCTTCTACAACCAGGACCACGAGCGCCTCTTTGAGCTCATCCTCATGGAGGAGATCCGCTTCCCACGCACGCTTGGCCCCGAGGCCAAGTCCCTGCTTGCTGGCCTGCTCAAGAAGGACCCCAAGCAGAGGTGAGGGCCAGTGCCCGCCCACACAGCCTTCAGCCAAGTTCACGTCCCGGGTAGGCCCCTCTTGGGGGTGTTAGAGCCAAGCATGCCCCACCCCATCCTGGACTCTGTGGCCTGGGCTGGGGAGCCGGCTTCCTGGCTCTGCCTCCGGGCATGTGAACACCCCTCCCTGGGCCCTGGTGTCCTTTTCCGTGATGGGGTGGCGATGGCCGGCCGGGTTCCGTAAAGGCTGCTCCGAGGGCTGTCTCCAGAACCCAGCTCTCCTAGAGTGGGCACTGATGCCGTCTCTGCCCAGGCTTGGTGGGGGGCCCAGCGATGCCCAGGAGGTGATGGAGCACAGGTTCTTCCTCAGCATCAACTGGCAGGACGTGGTACAGAAGAAGGTGAGCCCAGGCCTGGCCTGCTCCGGGGGACCTGGGCCCAGCTTTCCCCACAGCGGGCTCTGAGGCCAGCCTTCTCTGCTCCGTAGCTCCTGCCGCCCTTCAAACCTCAGGTCACATCTGAGATCGACACAAGGTACTTCGATGATGAGTTCACGGCCCAGTCCATCACAGTCACGCCCCCGGACCGCTGTGAGTGTCACGCCTGGCTTGGTAGCCGGGCTGGAGGCTTTTGGCCTCACCTGTGCTTTGGGTTCTGTCCTGAGTCAGCTCGAGTGGCCTTTCGTTAGTCTGCAGGACATGGTGGGGGAAGGGCTGGTGGGGCGTCCGGTTGGGGAGGTGGGAGACTGCTTGGGGCATGGCTGCAGGTGACAAGTTCCTGTTGTCCTCAAGTGCCTGGGTCCCCAGGGCAGGACTGACCCAGTGCTGGCAGCAGCAGTGACCACCACGGCCCCTGGGTCTGTCTGGTGGGGCCTCACCCCACATGGGTGAGGGGCCTGCATGTACCCTGTCAGCCACGGGATGGGCACCCCACTCTCCAGGGCCCCATGTTCTGCAGGAGAAATACCTGGTCCAGCCTGGGGACTGGAGGTTCCTGGGGATGCAGGGGCAGAGTGCCCCAAATTGGGGGTCAGAGGCAGGAGCTGAGCACCACTGGGTGGGAGGGGGGCATTTCCTTAGCCACCTGGAGGGCCGTGAGCAGAGGACACTGCCCCGTGGAGGGTGGATTCAAGTGGCCAGAGGCCAGGGCAGAGCAACAGCATTACTGGGGGAGGGTCCACATGAGGTGGGACCTGCTCCCCTGGCACTGTCAGCCTGCGGCCCTTCCTGGCCCTTGCCCCAGGAGCCCTGGCCCTCCAAAGGCCAGCCCCCCAACCCATCTCTGCACCCCACAGACGACCGCCTAGGCTCTCTAGAGCTGGACCAGCGGACGCACTTCCCGCAGTTCTCCTACTCGGCCAGCATCCGGGAGTGAGCGGCCTGACGGGGCCACCGGTGGCCATGGCAGGAGGCACGCACTGGTGGCTGTTTACAACGGTGTCATTTGGCTTGTTTGTTTGTGTTCCCACCCCTCACCTCCTGGCCCCATGCCCAGCTCTCTCTTCACCCCACCCCACCCCTCATCCCCAGCTGCCCTGGCCTCCGGGGAGCACCTTTCCCCACCTGTGTGCCCAGACTAGTATTGGGAGACTCTCACTCCTGCTTGGGCCTCAGGGCAGTCGGAGGTGATGGTTTTAATCCACACAAGCTCGGACGAGGGGTGTGTGTGTGGTACGGCCACCTGCCTGTGTGCTGCTGCTCGACAGAGGACGCCCGACCTGTGCCACGCCGCCCCCCCCCCCAGGGGCAGAAAAGCAATAATGGTTGAGCCCCACAGGGGCCTGGGACTCTGGGGTCTGAGGGCTTAGGGCTCCCTCAGGTGATGCCACCATGTCCCTAGCTCTGCCCCCAGGGTACTGCTTCCTCCCCCTGCCTTTGAGTGCTCCCCCAGCCCCTCCACCTGCTATCCTGACTTTGGGAATGAGACAGGAAGAACATTCTGGGGCTGCCCCAACCCGCACCTGTGCCTTACTTCCAGGGGGCCTGCCTTCCTGCTGGACCCTGGACCTGGGTCCAGCCCTGGCCCCATCGGAGGGCAGGGTGGGGCGGGGGGTAGGGGTGTCTGCCTTGGCTGTTACACATCTCCCACCAAGACAGTATTGGGCCTCGTGGGCAGGATGAGGGGCAGGCAGGGACAGGCGATCCACCCCATCTCCAGGGCCCCCATGTCCTGCAGCCTTAAGGTGAGCAAGTGTGCTCGGCTGTTCCAAGGGCACGCATGGTGCCCAGAGTGTGTCAGGGACACGTGTGTGCACAAGTGTGCCCAGGCCTTCGAGTGTGTGTATGTGTGTGAGTGTGAATGTGTGTTTGGGCCCCCATCCCTGGCCCAAGCATTTCATCCCGTGGAGTGGCGGGTGGGGAGGTGCTGACCGAGTGGGAGGAGCCACGCCCACCACACCCACATCTCCCCTTCTCTGGCTTCCCTTTCCACCCAACTTTGCCAGGTGTGTGGCATTTCATTTCTGTGGATCTGCCCACCCCCTCCGTACCAGACAGCTCACAGAGGGCATCATGAAGTGGGGACGGGCTGGGTGGGGGTGGGGTCTTTGCCCTTCTCTCCGACACCTGCCCTGCCCTCTGGCCTTTCTGCGTTTCTTCTTGTATTTGTACGGTACAAGCAATAAAGACCAGGGCCCAGCCCGCGTCTCTGCTGGCCTCACACCTGGGCCCCAGTCCCTGCGCACAGCTCCTCCCGTCGGCTGGGGGTGGGGAGGGGGTCTGGGGGTGGGCCGACCGGAGGCTGGGGTATGCCTCTGGACCTGGGCGGCTTTGGGGGGGGGGTGCTCATATCCCCACCCCCAGGTACAGCCTAGTGAGGACAGCGGCATGAGTCAAGTTGGTGCTAATTTTCCCATCAGGTGGACAAACCTTCACTACTTCCTCGGGAGGGTCCCCTCCCTCTGGCCCCTGGGACCCGCTCACACTGTTAGCACCGCTGCAGTGGCCTATGCTGGTCCTCTGTTTCTGTGAGGGAAACCCAGCAGTTTGTGATTAATTTTGCAAAACTAAGTCCGGTGGCCTGGTGGCCTGGCCATTCGTCTTGCAGCGCTGCTCAGACTGCGCACCGTCTTCCAGGTTGCGTAGCGTCCTGAGAGTGTGTGCTCCACGCTTCGTGTAGCCCGTCACCTGTTGGTGGGCGCGGTTGGGTGTGATGCTGCGGCAAACCCGGGTCAGTCCCTGTGTCCGTCGGTGGGGCGACTGGTAAGCCCCCGGGGTGTGTCCTAGGAGTGGACTTGCTGAGTCCTGTGGTGATTTTATTTTTTACTTTATTGAGGACTCACTGTATCACTGTGTATCCCCCTCGCTGGAGGGGCTGTAACGTTCCCACCGCCCCACCCTTGCCAACACTGTGGTTTTCCGCTGCGGTGTTGCTGGCCAGGGCCACGCTAGCGGTGGAGGCGAGACCTCACCGTGTCCGTTGGCGTCTCATGGCGGTTGGCAGTGAGCATCGTTGTGTGTTGGCCGCTGGAGCTTGTGTTGTTTGCCCAATTTGCGATTGGGCTACTTGTCCTTTTGCTGTTGTAGAAATATATATATTTTAGATAGTAGACCCTCGTTGACTATATCGTTGTCTTTGTATGCTTTTGATGAACTATTTTGATGTCCGTATTTAATTTTTATGAGATCCCAGTAATCTGTCTTCTGCTCCTGTAGTTGTAGTTTTATTTGATAGCATTAAAAAAGAAAAAAGAAACCCTAGTTTTCATGAGTTTGGTGCCCATGTTTTCTTCTTTTTACCTTTAACATCTAGGTCCTGGGTCCATTTTTAATTCATTTCTGTGTGTGATGTGAGGAACAGGTCTTCCATTTTTCTGCAGGTGCAAATCCAGTTTTACCAATGCAGTTTGCTCAAGAGACGGCCCCTTCCCATGAAATGGACTAGCACCCCTATCAAAAACCAGTTTCCATAGATGTATGGATTATTCCTGGCTAATTCCGTTTCGTTGGTGTCTGGCATTGAACCCGCACCAGGGGCTGCTCTGATCACGACAGCTGGTGGGCAGTGTGCTTTGAAATCCAGAAATGTGAGGCCTCCTCCCTTCTTCTTCTTCCCAATGGTTTTGGCTACCTGGGCCTCTCCCCATCCGGAGCCGAGGATTGGTGGGTTTTGTTTTCCGTTGGAATGTTGGTCAGTGTTGCATTGACTCTGGAGACGAGGATGGGTAGTACATTTTGACAGTAGTTAGACTCCCAATCCATGAGCTCAAATGTCTTTGCATCCACCCGGGTCTGTGCGAGCCCCTTGTACTGGTGCCTTCATTTGTCTGTCTTTCACATCCCTGGTTAGGTTGGGTCCTAGGGATCTGAAGTGCTTGTGTAAGTTGTATTGTTTCCTTGGTTTCCTGTAGAGAGTTCTCCCTGTTGGTGTGCAGAAAGGAGGGAGGGGTGTGTGTGTGTGTGTGTTTACCTTGGGCCCTGTAATTTTGCTGGATTCTTCCATTAGTTCCTGCAGCTTTCTTGTGGCCTGACATCTGCTATATGAGAGTCGTATCATGTGCACGTTGGGATACTTTCTCTCCCTTTCCAGTTTGAATCCCATTTGTTGTTTTTGCCTGACTGCTCTGGCTCAGACTTCCAGTACGATATTGAATAAAGGGGTGCTAGTGGGAACCCTGCCTCCCTGTTCCCATTCTCAAGGGAGAAGGCTCGCGGTCCTACTCTACGGAGTGTAATGTTGGCAGTTGCCTTTTCATAGACAACCTGAGTGGTGGTAAGGGACCTGAACCTCTTGTTTCCAGTTTGCTAACAGTTGTTATCAGGGAGGGCTTTATCAGTGCCTTTTCTGCATCTAGTAAATGCTGTGTGGTCCTCTTCCTTGTTTTATTCATGTGGCATATTTCGTTGCTTGGTTTTCTGATGTTGAGTTGCCCTGGTTTATACTCTGAGAGCAAATCCCACTTTGGTCATGGTGCTCAATTCTCTCGATATGCTGTTGGAGTCTGTTTGCTAGAACTTGTGTTGAGAATCGTGGATCTACTCCCGAGGGATACTGGCCTTCCTTTTCTTGGGATGGCTTACCTGGTTTGGTCTCAGGGTGATCCTGGCTTCATAGAGTGAGCTTAGGGAGGATGCCGTCTGTTTTTAATTTTGGACAAGTTTGAGCTGAGCAGGAACATCTTTGAATGTGTGATGAAATTCCCTCGTGAAGCCATCTGGTCTGGGCCTTTGTTGGCAGGTTGGAAGATTGGTCCAGTCTCTTGTGATGTTAGTATGGGTGTGTTGTGTGTTTCTAGGAGTGTCCATTTAAGTGTTCGGGTCGGGTGGAGCAGTTTTTCCGCACAGTTCTCTGTTAGGATCCTCTGTGTGCTGAGCTGCTGTCACGCCACAGCCGCTGTTGTTGGCATCCTCTCTTCTAGCTTGTGATTTGTTGATTTCTTTTTCAAAGAAGCAACTTCTGGTTTTGTTGATTACCGTGCGTTGCTATTTTCTGTTTTATCAATTTTCTTCTAGCAGCTTTAGGCTTCTTTCGCTCTTACTTTCCATTTCAGAGGTTGTAGAAGTTAAGCTATTGATTTAGGATCTTTCTTATTGACATTGTTATCCATTGCTACGGATTTTCCCCATCGCACAGCCTTCCCCGTGCCCCATAGGTTTTGGCTTGCTCGGTTTCCATTCTCAGTCAGGTCTTCATTTCTCCCTCATGTTTTTAGGACCTGATTGGTTTTTGAACAGTGTCTTATTTAGGTTTCCTCGGTTTTCTTTGTCACCGATTTCTGGCTTCACTCCCTTGTGATCAGAAAAGAGCTCTTTTTTGGTGATTTCAGTCTTACATTTATTGAGATTTGTTTTGGTCCTGAACCCGGGTTTACTCTGGGGGTTGTCCGTGTTCACTGGAGAAGAGTGTCAGTGGTGTGCTGGTGGGTGGAGCGTGGTCAGGTCCGTGCTGTTCGGGTCTTGCGTTTGTCGATTTTCTTCTAGTTGTCACTGTGGGTAGTGGTGCATTAAAGTCCCTGCTGCTGTCACAGACCTTTGCATTTCTCCCATTGAGATTCACTTAGAATTTACTTCATACGTTTTGGGGAGTCGACCCTTTTGTCATCACACGGGTTTGGGACATGCTGTGAACTGGGAAGGGTCCAGAAATGTGGATGCTGTGTCAACACCATATTCTCACATACAGGCAGCGAGGTCGGGACCTTGGGCACATGGAGGGGCAGGGGGCCGAGAGGCGTGGGTGCCGGGGGTGCTGCCGCTGGCGGCCCAATTGGTGTGGCTGCCTCCTCATCACGGGTAGCTCTGCCCCCACCGTGAGCCTCCGAGCGTCACCTGCGTCACCTGCGGCAGGAGCAGAGGCGCCTGCATGGGTGCTGCTTGTGTCCCATGGCTGCACGACCTTCCTCCCTCGGGTGGGTGCTTGAAGCGGGAGGAGCAGCGCCGTGCCCTGCTGCCCACTCGCTCTCAGAGTTGGGAGTTTTTACGATACCATCTCAGTAAGACACCCCGTGGGAGAAACCATAAACAAAAAGAAAACTGCTTTCCCTTTAAAACAACAAAAAGCAAACCAGCTTAAGGGCCGTGGTGGATGTACATGTGGTGAGAAGTTAACCTGAACTGATGTTAGTTGAGCAGTGCACCCTGCATGGGGCCCTCCTTTGTCTCACACCTATTTTGATGTGTTTTATTGAACTGTCGCCACCTGCTCTCTTGGTTGCCGTTTGCACAGGTTGGTTTTTTCCCCTCTGTTCTTGACTTTTAACCTACCTGGCTCTTTGTGCTCAGGGTCTGTCTCTTGTAAACAGCCTATTAGCAGAGCCGTATCGTTTAGCCATTCTACCCCTCTCTCTGTCTGGACTAAGCCTTGGGCTGCTAGTCAAAAGGTAGTGATTTGAACCTACCAGCCGCTTTGAGGAAGAAAGAGGAGTCGGCTTGCTTTTGAAAAGCGTGACCCTCTCAGAAACCCCGCGGAGCAGTTCTGCTCCGTTCTCAGGGTCACCAGTCTGGACTACAGCGCTTCAAGCTATAGATGTTCACTGTCGCTGTCCACAGGAGGGTTTACTTCCGCCTTCTACCTGTGGGACTTAGGGCTGCTTTCTCATTTTTTCCAATGTTGACTTTCTTCTTCTTTTTAATGTTAATTTTTAATCTATAGATTTTTATCTGTCTGTAATTCAGGAATCCTAACTGGAAGGTGCCCAGTTCAAAATCACCAGGCACTCCGTAGGAGACAGAGGAGGCTCTCTACTCCCATTAAAAGTGACAGTCTCAGAAACCCACTGGGCAGGCCTGCCCTGCCCTCCAGGGTCGCTAGCTGTTGGGATTGGCTTGATGGCAGGGCGTTTGGTTTTGATTTTGTGTGTGCTAGATGCTGAGCTATCTTGCCTCCTCACTTCTTATTTTGGTATCTAATTTTACTTATCTTCTTTGTGGTAAGCATGGGAGGAAATCGTTCTTATATCTTGCATTTTGATACCAGCTTAACTTCCTCAACAAAGGAGAAGTCTATATCTGCACCAGTGTCCTTCCCCCACCCACCCCCGTTTTATGTGATGGCATCATGACTTGCATCTCTGCACCCTGGTTTCCCTGTGGTCTGCACTGCACGTCTGTTTACTGTTGCCGTGTTTAGGCGTCATTTTCTCAGTAAGTCACCATGGACCTGGAGGACATGCGGGATCACAGCGCTCAGACGTCCCTGTCGGCTGCTGGCTGATGCTGCTTGCTTGTTTGTCTCCCTTTTGTCCCCATGGGACCAGTGGGGGGGGCTGTATCGGGTTCCTGCGAATGTTCCGATGTCACCCTTGTTTTAACCGGCCGTCTCACTGGGTATGTGCCTCTTGTTGACGCTGTGTATGTCGCCTAGTTGTCACTTTGTGTGGTTTGACAAGAAGCAGGCACTTTATCGGACCGAGGCCCACTTTGTGTGATCCCCTTTCTTGTGCTCGTCGCAGCCCTTTCGTCGTCCTCGGTTCTTGAGGGTCTGATGACCATGTGTCTTGGTGTGCTTCTTTCAGGCTCTCTACATTTATTGAGCTGCTGGGGTGTAAGAATTCTCGTGTTTGTGGTATTTGGAATGGTTTCCGCTAGCTCTTCAACAACTGCCTGCTCCTCCGGAGCGCTCCTAATGTGTGGGTGAGCTCCCCTGATGGTGCCTTAGCCCGCATGGTCCTTCAGTTCCAAAGGCCGGCGTCGCTTTCATTGATCTTCATTTCTATTCCCCAATCCATTCATGGCTCTGTGCCCAGTAAGGGGGTGGGGGTGGGGGTGGGGGTGAACAGGACCCTGACAACGAGGTGCCGGTGCGGTATGCTGTGTGCTGCTCCGCATGTGGGGTCATGCCTGTCCACAGGGCTACGTGCAGCCCTGGAGCCGGCTTGGGAGCCTCTGCACGATGTGCAGCACTGGGGAACTCTAGGCACAGCACTGTAGGGGTGAAGCTCTGCCAAGTGGTGGGGCAGGGCCCTTCCACCACTGCCACAGTGTGGCGTGGGGTGGGGTGGGGTTCTTGGGGGAGATCCCGTGTGGCCCAGGTGATTCAGCCACCCCTGTTATGGCAGGGGTTCACTTAGTTCCAGTTTAGTGGCTGCTGTAATAAACCTCTTTACCAACCCTTCTCTGCTGCCCTTGTGCTTTTATTTCTGTAGCTCACGTTCCCAGGTGGCCGTCTTTTAGTACACAGATGATTTAAATCTACCTGGTCTTCACTTTCCAGTTTGGAAGTGATTGTAGACATTCAGGGAAGGGTCAGAAGCCGTGTACAAAGATGATTGTGGCTCTGGGGCCGATGGACGGGTGCACAATCAGCCTGGGGCTGCTTGCAGCGAGGGGCAGCCAGGAAGTGCTTAGAAGCCCCATGAGGATGGAGGTGCACAGAGGGGTCCAGGAACCAAGTGAACGAGCCCCCCATGCAACAGTACAAATAACGTACAGGCAGTTTGCATGCTACGAACATGAAGGGTCCACACTTGTGTCTTGAAAAATTTGTGGGTCAGTCAGAACAGGTGCAAAAGAATTTTGAGCTGGACTTTGGTGCAGAAAGGCCCCGAGCTGTTCCCGTGATCGGTAAAGCTGCGCATGAGCAGGTGAAGGTCCTGTGATGAGGACTCTGTTGTGAGCAAGGAGGGCCAGTTTACGTAGCCGACGCCGGCGACTGACCACGCAGCTCTGAAGATGTACGCGGCTCCCCACAGCTCCTCCAGGACCTCGGGCTCCTGCAGTGATGCCCAAGACCCTCCGATCCTCCCAAGCTGGGCTCTGGCCCTGTGTGTTTTTTCGTTACAGCCATCGTGACAAATCACCCACATTGTGACGGCTTCAGTCTGAGGCACGACAGGACAGGTTGGAGCCCCATCGAAGGAGAGTGGGGCCTGTCTGTAAAGACAGACGGCTTTGGAGCTCGGGCAGGGTTGCTTGAGTTGAGTGGACTTGAGGGCCGCATTGAGAGATCTGGAGAATAGGGGTTCTGTATAATCTGCAAGTTTTCTGCAAATCCTGTAAAAGCCAAAAGGTTATTGAAAGTACAGAGTTGTCATGTATCCATCACCCAGATGCCCTGTAACATTTTACCAGTGTCACTGTCAACCTACGAATACCTACACACAGCTTGTCCCTGAACCGCTGGACAGTGTCACAGACAGAATGCAACATGGGCCATTCGCTTAAACAAGGTCGGGAATCAGTACAGCACCAACGTGCTCGCTGCTTCCACCCTACTCAAATGAGAGCAGTGTTCCCCCTGTATCCCACCCCATTAGTCCCTGTGTCAGGAACCAGCCCCAGCATTGGGTTGAGGGTGTGGAAAGGGGCACCCCCATGACATTGAGAATTGCAGGGGGGGTTGTGGGGATCAAGGAAGACCTCTATGGAGAAGTGACGTCTGGCTCCTCTTTCAAGTCCCGGTGTCAGCAACACGATGTTCTGTTTATTATACTCAGTCCACAGACTCCGGTCATCTACTGTGCGCCCAGCCCCGTCCCCGCTCTCGGTGCTGAGATTACAGCCACGGGGGCGGAAGGAGCCGCGCTGCCTCATGGGGAGGGATTGATAGAAGGCACCACGGACTGCAGGAAAGCACTGCTCTCTAGTTGGCTGGGACTCCTGCAACCCTAGAGCGCACCGTGGAGCTGCCCGTGGTGCTAGCAAGGGCCGGGTCCTGGGAGCTCCACACCTTTGTCCTAGGGCTGAGTGTTTTATCCTCTGCCACCAGGACGCCTTACAAAGTGCTGAAGCAAATAGATGCAGGGACCCCAAGTCGATTCAAACTGGTAATGACCCTACATGCAGAGGTTCCTCAGAGGCCCCCCCACTCTGCCCCTGGCAATTAAAAAATGTGTACCATCGTCCATAATGCAGGATCAAACGTAGGCACGCGCTTTTGAAGCCGCCTTGGGTCACTCCAGCGCTTCCCCCCAGGGGCACAGCCCAGCTGTTTGTGGGGCTGTAAATCCCTGCAGGAGCAGCTAGGCCGCCACCTCTTTCGCCCACAGGGGGTGGTGGAGTTGAACCCCCGCCCCTTTGATTAGCAGTCCCACACACCCAGCAGCGCCACCAGGGCTCCCTAAATGCAGGGAAGTG